GCCAAAGGGCAGCAACACACTCCGGGGCCTCGGAGGAAAAGCAAAAGGGCTCTTGAAAATGTTCTGGCTCTGGTTAGTGTAATGCCCACATTCAGATGATACTTGCACACCAAATGTTCAGTCATTTGATAGCGGGGAAGTTCTGAGGTGCTGGCCATTCACTCATCTAACTGTCCATCAAAACAAAATTGCTCATAGTTTAAATGTTTTATGACAAGACTGGTTAGTTAAATCCTTCTTTCAGCCGAAGTGGAGGAAACAGATCGAATACAAAGCATAGAAAGCACACAGGCTTAGGATACAGCTCTCAGGAAGGGGAGTATAATGCTTTAAAAGACTCTTTTCTCTCTAAACGGTACGACAGTGGTTCTTCCTAGGAGAAATAAAGATGAGAATATGTATGTTCACACACACCAATTACTTGTGAAAGCGGTGTACAAAGTTCAGGAACTGCGTTTGAACTTCAAGTCCTAAAATATGCATTAAAAAAAGTTTGCTTTTTTAAAGTTGTACCAAGTTCTACAGTAAGTAGGTCGCTGTGATTATTACTAGTTTTGGAGATGTGGGAGGAAAAGGACTTGAGAGGAGCTGACAAAGTCAGCCTGATGCTGATTGAACTAGGTATGTTCTTAAGGTGATAGTATGCAGACTTAATAACTGTTGTAATGTGAGTGTTAAAATGCAGGTCTGAGTCCATCACTACTCCTAGATTTCTTGCTTTATTTGTTGTTTTAAAGTCTGCCGACTGAAGCTCTGTGATGACTTTGAATCGTTCCTCCTTTGCTCCAAAAACAATAATCTACTTTTCTTTAGTGAAGTTTTAACCTGACATAGCTTTGAGATGTTATTAATGCCTGGAATGGTGTCTGAGAATAAGGGTTATGGTTTTAACTATAAATAAAACCTCTTAGAAACTTGTAATGATATATCTGTGAAAGAAGAGCGGTTCATTCATGAACTAAAATCATGTAAATGTGACAGGAATAAAAAGTGTGTTATGACCTTACTATATCTGCCCTCCCCCCTTCTCTCTCCCATTAAAGCTCATCCTTCCTGCGTGGACTCTGATAGTAACACAAGCTGACACAAACAAGAGGAACTGACACACACAGCTGTCTCATAGCACTCGTCTCCCCGTATCCAATGCCACATTTTTCTGGAGGATTTTTTTTCTACTTTCAGTGCTCCATGGCACCTCATTTGACTGTCAACATTTGACTTTCTACCCAATTTAAATTCTATTTTTTGTGAACCGTTTGTTGACTTTTGTCTATGGTTGTTTAGTACCCACACATTGTCACCTTTTAATCAAGACTAGTCAGTGATTTCATTTAAAAAATAACCGTTTCTAAACACTGAACAAGATTATAATTACTTGTAAGAATCCTAATCTGTTGCCATGTCTTTTTTAGTGATACCTACTTTAGAGCAACCGGACCCTTGGTCTGCATAGTGCAGGGTCACAAGCACTATAAATAAAAACTGTAGTCATGTGAGGGTGAGTAAGTCATGCTGAAACATATAAAAACAACCTGAACCCAATACACATCATATCGGCTCTTGGGGTTACACTTACCTGCAGGAAATAAACAAAAACTTTAACTGAGACAAAAAAAGCATGCAAAGGTGTCGAACCACAAACTATGACTAAATCTAAAAAACTCACTTTATTTATAAAAGGACACCCACATTGTATGCCTACTCATTGAACCTATTTTCAGAGAATTTTTAGTCAATCTTGACTGAGCCAACTTGATCAATCACCGATGCCCAGGCAGGCTTTATGCATGACACTTGGCATCCATTTGGCATGAGCACAACAGATCCCCTAATTATTCGGAGCTCCGTAAAACGAAGCTGTCTATGCTGTCTGACGGTCGATTTGACACCATTTTTATATTTTTGTTGTAATCATACCGTTTTTTGACTAACAGAAATATTGTTTTCTGGTACCACTTTAACATTTTCCGGGGGGAAATCTGCATTTCGGTATGGGGGCGCAAGCCGAAAGTGAGGGAGCAGCGGTTCAGACAAAACCCTGCATACTGTATCTCAAATGATCTAGCGAAATCTCAGCAAGACAGATTATGATATGTTACATATTATAACGCTGGTGTTGAAATTAGATGAGTAGATAAGTAAACATATTGAAAGCACTATCGTTTTTGTCCGTTCATTTTATTCACATTCGAGCTGCTTGAAGGATGCCAATTAAGGTTAAACCACGTTACAGTTTAAGTTGCTTACAAGAGAGTTGTGGAGGGTTAACATAAAAATGGACCACAGCATATTTTTACCCTGAAGTTAAAACACAGAGAGTAAAAAGACTGGCCTACTAGCCACAGAAAAGGCCTTTTAGTCTATTATGGTTTGACATGAGCTCTAAGGCCTATATATATATATATGTATATATATATATGTGGCAATACTGTGTAACAAAGACAAAAAAATCCCATTAGGTTATTTTCCACTAATTCTGCATACTAATCCTACACCACTCAGCCACATCTCAAATGTTGCAGCAATTTGTAGCCTATAATGAACATGTTGGACCAGCTCTTCATGGTTCAGGAGACACCAGTTTGATTAAATTGATTTATCTAATGTAGTAGCTGACTGTTCAACCTTTGCCCTCAATTTGAGGCACCAGTGCTCTTTAGTCAATTCATGAAGTAATGCTCATTTCCTCTTGAAAATGACAGAACTAGTTTCAACACAACAACATAACTGCAATGATTGGTGATCTTATCATAGAGTAATTGTTAGGAATACTAAGATCGAGAAGATTTTCTGCAGATTGTTCCACAATGAAGACAATTGTTGCAGCTCTGATAAACAATCTGAAATACAGGATTGGTTTTTACTTTTGGTAATAGTTTTTTCAGAAATATCTAAAGATCTTTAACCCTAAATACCAATAAAACCATTCATGACGGTAAAGTAAGAAGACTATCAGCACTTGCTGTTACAGAAGCCAAGTGTTGCACTTACATGATCACCCTCCAAAAGTAACAGGAAGGCATGGGCTCAACGCTCGCCTCAGAATTGGGTTGCCGCTATTCGTTATCAGGTGAGCTATTTCAATAATTATGTCATTTGAGCCTTATACCCTCTCATTGAAGAATACAAATGTTATCTGGCTTCACCTCTAAGGAAGTAACATTATAGTCATTTAGCAAATACTAAATGATTTGCTATTACTGCTAGTCATTGGATACTAGGCTGGCAAATCAATAGATCCTAGATGCTTCTTTGGCCGCACAAAGTAATGAAATCTGCAGAAGACATAGTGTTCTGTAATATTGTGAATGTGATGACATATTTATTCATCCTAAGCCTAACAACTGTAAACCAATGCATACTTAAAAACACCCACAAAATCTGACCACTGCAGAGAACCAAAATTAGTCTGCCTGCTTTTACATGTTTTTGACTGAGCTTTAGACAGCATTTTTTTACTAGCTGTATCTAAAGGTTGCCTGAAATTGCCCTAAATGCATGATGTTCCAAACCTGAATGTTTTCTTTGTTTTGTGCCTGTATCTAGCCGAGCAGTATCTACTACAGCGCATTTACATTTGTGTATCGACTCGTGCAGTGCAATGTTTGACCACTTCAGCTCAAGATGAGTTGAGTGCTAATGCTGAAATTGCCAAGCATCTCTTCAGTATTGTGTTTAAGACAGTCTTATATTATGATTTCTGTCTTGAAAACACATTTTCTTGTTTGCATAAAAATCATTTTCTAGCACTATCATGGCTGCATGGTTTAGTGACAATATTACTTGCATTTGAAAGAGAATTTACAGGGACTAACAACACTTACCAATTGCATCTGTGTTGTTAAGAGACCAGATTTTTAGTTTGGTTTTCACTCTCAGAGATCAGAGAAATTCCACACATGTGCACACTGTACTTTCTACCAGCTACTTAAGTAAAATAATCTAGCCTGTCAGCATACCTTCTTGCAACGAAATCACAAATCATACATTTGCATCAGTGGCATTTAAAACATCTGACACCCACAATTCTTAAACGGTAGAAGGCTAAGCAGTATCTTTTCCATGATTGAGATGCATTCCATCAACAGATGCTATTAAGATGACTGATTCAGGAGAGGACACTGAACATTGTCTCTGGTTAGTGGTTACATGGCAGCTGCTTCCACTGCAGGCAGTCGTTCAATATGAACATGATTTCTGACAATATCAGGTTTACATTATAACAGCCCTCTCATGCACCATTTTTTATCAGATTAGAGACCATAAGCACACATTTCCTATAGGTAAATCTCTACAAAAAAGCTGTATGCACATTTAACTGCCTCATACTTGCACTGCTGCCAACTACACCCACTAAGCGTGTTATGGCTCATGCGTGTTCAAGTCTATGGTTACAGCCCACACAATGCTGTCAGTGTTGACGGAAACGCAGAGAAAGCCCTGCTGTGTCCCTACCATCACAGTTTTCTCTTAAAAGTTAGTTTAAACCATGGTTGCTGCTCTTATAATTAATAATATGTTATGTGCGTTGATAGTAGTATACACATCATAGAGCTGAGTTGACTGTACCCAGTTATGGCACTATGAGAGCTTTAATGACAGAATATATCGTTACATTAATACAGGTTTATGTTGCAGCTAAGATTAACCCAATATGTCTGTGGTTATTGCTCATTAAAAGGACAGGAGACAGCTGGGCGTAGGCTCGCTAGCTAGCAGCGTTTACGGCTAGCTGCAAATGACATAGCGTTTAGTTTCCCCGGAGAAACCCATTGTCCACGTTTACTAAAACACAATAATAGTGTCAGTTCAAACATCCACACACAGCTCTTCAAAAACCCTGTGATGTTATAATGTGACTAACTGGTTAAACTAGTGAATAAACAACACCTTTGACTGGTCTTAAAATAGGACTGCTTGTTGCCAAGTACAACACATTCAATATAACAGTGTTAGCAGCTAACAACAAGGGGTTAAAACAAGGAGTAGCATCCACTCACCAGCGGGTCTCTCAGCCCAGTAGTAGCTATGTCCTTCAGCTGTGTATTTCTTCACACACTCGGGGTGCGAAGAGGCTTTGGAAATGGAGCCAAGAGTGTCCTAGCAACAAAAAACGCTTTAGCCAAAAGTGCCCTAGCAACAAAAAACGCCTTCTCTTATCGTAACCAGACCCCGGCTGCGGGGCGACCTCATCACACAACCCCCGCCTGAGATGTTGACCAAATCCCAGCTGTGGTAGTGTGGGAAGCAGAGGCAACAAAAACACTCCGTTTATAAATGAAGAACGTGGTGGATGGACGTGTTTGCAGGAAGGGAAGGGTTCCCCGGGCGAGTGAATTCCCCTCTTAAAAATCCGTCGTTATGCAGAGGGTTCGCAATCAGCACGGCTCTACGGGCTCTACGGGCTCTACACGTTGCACAGCCCACTACAACCAGTACAGATCCGACCTCCCCCAGTCAGCTCGGCATACACAGCGATGGCTCCGCTGGAGGTTTTGAGTACAGCATGAGGGGAGTGATGCTAGCATGGGAGAGAGGGGGAGGTAAAGGAGGGAGGGAGGGGTACTGCACATGGTCACGTAGCCATTGCAAGTGATTCTTAAAAATATTGGGGCATATTAATCACTACTGGTTCCTTATTGGTAATTGATGAACTCAAATACAAATAAATCAAGAGGGCTTTATTCATATTTCCGTCCAGAATACAGAATTACGTCTGAAGTTATCTAGTGATGAAATTACATCAATTAAATAATACATAATTATAATCACATAAAAGTACACATTATTACATAAGAATACACAAGTGCTAAGTATACTTTTTAAAGCATAAATATAAAAGAAACAAATACACAGTAGGCTTATAGAATTGATATAATAAAACCAAAATAGACTGTATTGTTTTACAATATAAAAAGTACAAACTAGAGTCTAGTAAGTGACTCAATATTGTCTTTTTTAATGTAAACTTGATGCACTTAATAACAAACTGTATGATGTTCGAAGAAGTCTTCTGCTCTTTAAGTATTTGGGCCAAAGTGTAAACATATCCCATCACAAGTTAAAGTGATTGTGCAACACACCATTGAGAACCATCTGAGTATGATACAAAATGTGTTCTCAAAGCACCACATTCAAAAAATGATGAAGGTTCATTTTTCATGATATGAAACCACCACTTCTTCTAAATTGAGTCTTTATTTTTAAGCGTGATGTAATAGCAGCAAGCAGGGTTCATTCATGTTCTCTGCTCTCGTGAACTTTGCTGTTAGTCTTTCTCAATGATGAAGATGGTACTGGTGATTCTTGCCTGTTTCGGTAAAGGGAGGATAAGGCTGAGAAAAAGAGTCACAAATGCTGGTAATTCTTAAAATTGCCTCTAGACATGTTCTTGTACATCACGGCTATTTTTCGGGTCATTTTTCTTGTGAATCTGTCAATTATTGTAGAAGAAGACAGTGTCTCTCAAGGAATATTCCCCAATGGATAATGGATGAATAATCTAAACTGAGTTTCAGATATATTCTGGTAGGCAATATAGAATCCATCAAATAATGAATGTCTGATTTAATTTGTCACAAAGACCCAAGGAAGACAGTTGGAAGTTAGACAGTCACAAGGCCATTATGCTATATGAGGGACACACAGTAACTCTTGGAACTAAAACTATATTGATCTTGTGCAAAACTATTCTAGGTCAAGTGATTTATTATGAAGTTATTCTACAATGTGTAAAAATCGTTCATCCTCAAAAATCGTTTTATGCTAAAGGTCTCATATTCGAACACACTACTTTAAAAGGAAAACTCTTTGGCTATTATCTGTTTTACATAACAGTTTCACGCCTTTTTCAAATGCATTTTAAAGTGTATTTCCTAAATTATTGTCAAATATGTTTGAATTATTTGATTGCAGTCAATGCATAGTTGCCTTTATTCGTCAACATGCAATATTTTTAGGATTTAGGTATAAAACATACCATATTTGTAATTAGATTTTCCAATGAGCCCGAATTAGATAATTTTAACATAACTTTTACAACTGTGAAATATTCTAAATTACCTGGACTATGTAAACTATTTCATCTGCAGACTGAGTATCAGCTCACAAGTAACTCGATTTCCACCAAGTTGAGAGCAGAAAGCTCACCTCTTTTAGACCCAGAACAGCAGGCGAACATGTCACTGTCAAGGAGTATAATATTTGTTCTGAATAGGGTTCAGTGTTAGGTTGAACGAACGCTTGTAATGTCACTGGAAATTGTCAGTTCTCATATACCTATTTAAAACCATTTAGAATTATAATTTTAAATAATATGACAATCAAAGCTAAATAGACTTGTGGGTTGTGATATGGAAGTATGTAACCAAGGTATACATTTGAAACCTTATTGCTGATCAGTTTCCCTCATCTTTAACAGACGTGCTGTAACCTACTAAGCCTGGGGTTTTAACAGATACTTGTATCCTAGCACTTACATATACATTTGGTAGTTTTTTCCATAGTAACATTCAAACATAATTTTTTACATTGTTATACACAGTATGGTGTTAGCAAGGCTTGTTGTTCAGCTCAATCAAACATTTTCCCATGGTAACTGACAGTTAAAGGTGTGGGAGTGTGAGACATTTGCTGTATCTCACCACCAATTCCCAACACACACACACACACACACACACACACACACACACACACACACACACACACACACACACACACACACGCTTATGCACTTCCCCTTAAGAAATATGAATACCGTATCCAGGAAGCCACACTTTGGCCACCCAGCCCGGCACTTCATTTCCTTTGAAAGTAGTACACCAGCACGATCATTCCCCAATTCACATCACTATGAGCGCATGTCAATGAGGGGCGAATGACAGGGCAGCATTGTGAGATGGGCGCAGAGAGTGAGTGCCATGTGACACTCCTGAATGGGCTGCCGGGGGTTAGCCGGGGGGGAAGGATGGCAGGAATCACAAAGGCCCATTGAAGGATTGCAGACAAGGTACAAGACTGGCACTGGTCCTCCTTCCCTTCCATGGGATGGCAGGAGGAGGCTGCTGCTTGGTACTGACTGAAAGGAGGGATTATTTCAAAAGAATTGGAGAGCGGAGGTTTATTATCACCATGTTACACTTCCTTCAGTCTGTTGATGGCCATTATGTCCTCTTCTGCACATACTGTACACTACTGTCTTGAGTGAGTTACCCCTGTGTCTGCTTCATAAAGCCTACAATAGGTCATTGTGTTTTACACAAAGTGAAAGCCATGAAACTCAACTCTGTCATGGGTCAAAGTAATGACTGTTCTTTCTTAGGAAATACTATCATTTCATTCAACTGGGAGAGAGTCACACGTAGCAAAAGTAATGACAAAATATGTTTTCACCAACTTTTGTGTTTTTTCACACCTTAATCACACTTAACCAGAACATATAGTGATAGTTTACAATATGTATCCTCTCGTTGATAAAACATGCACATCTTCCTTTTCACAGGTGTTAAAAAATGTGGCTTTTACAAATATGCGCTATCCTTGGTTTCAGCCTCGCTCCGGTATCATTCGATTGGACTACGCAAATTAGTCATTCGAGACAAAAATGTCCACTGCAAAATACTTTGATAAAAATATTATATTAAAAGGTTTTTTTCACAACTTTTTTGGGTTCAATCTTTAAAGCAACTTCCGCCCTAATAGAAAATACCAAAAATCTAATCATTTTCAGGATTTTAACCCTTTAAATGCCATTTTGAATACATGAAACTGCTGGTTTTTTTCGTGATGAAAACAGAGAAAATGAGTTATTTCCAAAAAATACATATCTGTTGACTGGCTCTTTTTTTTTTTATAACAGTCTTTTTTTTTACTTTTTGGGGTTAAATCTTTCAATCAACTTCAGTCCTGATCAAAAATACCAAATGTTAAATTATGTTCAGGATTTTAACCCTTGAACTGCCAGTTTGAAAACATGAATTTGCGTTTTCTATGAAAAACATGCACAAAAAGGCAGTTATTTTCCCTATAATAAATGTTGGGGAGGTTCGGTTTTTTTTTTTTTTTTTTATCACAGTCTTGGATATGTCAAAGATTAGCAACAACATTTATTTTGGTGGATTATTAGTTTTTGCACAGAAACGGTTAAACAAAAAAACTCACACATTAGCCACTCGTGTCCCATCCACTCCCATTATAACCACATCTTTTGATCTCTCCGCCATACCGGTATATAATCATGCATTTTGTAATATCAGGGTTTTATATTGGAGGAAAATAGTTCAATTTGTCCTTTTTACTGTATGTCACCAGATGTGACATTTTACCATTGAATTACATGCTTGTCATTTCTTGGTTTCTTTGCCTGTTGTATAATCAGTGTGAGAAAAAGTTTTTAGAGAGTACTTGTCCATGGACAAGTGCGTTTGGCAAATTACTTGTCCGAATACATTTTTCACTTGTCCAGAATGGACACAAATTGGGGCCACTGGAATCTTCTTCTTCGCCATCGTATTTTACATTTTCACCGCTAACGTAACGTGAGCGGTAGGATTTACTGCATACGAGCATAAGTGGGTATCGTTTGGATTTTAGAACGTTTTCCGGTTCTGTTTCGATTCCAGTCTATTTCCGGTTCTCGATTCCGGTTCTTTGAGAGGGTCAAAATAATCCCAATGACAAACTGGGAGAAATATTATTTCTGAAACATCTAAGGGTCAAAGCTGTATTCCTAGTTACAACTCACCGTCATAGCGTTTAATTTGCTTTCCGGTTATTGAATACAAATGTATTTCTTATTTAGTGAACGCTGTATAACGCTTGAATAACCGGCTAATAACCTTCCTTACGTGTTAGACGAAGAACATAGAAAGTTTGACAAGGATGAGGCTGTTAAACGAGGCAGCGGTCCGCTGGTGTAGAAAGATGAGAGACGCTGAGCTGCAGCCTGCAGCTGATCGGAGCATAAAGAGAGAGAGAGCTGCGGTCCGCGGGGCTTGGCGCTCGCCCTATCCTCACACTCTTATCAATCCCGGGACCGGACAATTTTATTCTTATCCTACTCGTGGACCGAGTTTTAGCTTCCCACCCTGACCACTGTGCTACAGCTTCCGCCCGCCCCTGGCTAAGCGTAACAGAAAGCGGCGAATGGTTCTTAGAATCGACAAGCAGAACCGAAACTTAACATTTCTAAACAAACAATGGCAGGACCAGCCCGTACAATTTGCAATTAGTTCGAATTTTGTAAATGAATTTATCAATAATTTGTCAATAAATGAGGGCGAAATATCACTTGTCCGCGGAAAGTCAATTGAGACTTACTGTCTATATTGTAAAATCACGTCCCGGCGGTGGGCGTGTACTTTTTCGCACAGCTGATAATGGGGCCCTGCCAGTAATTGGAATACATGTATGCACACTAATATAATTAGGTGTGTTGGCTATGGAGTGGAAGAGTTGTATCAGCTGATAAGTGATGGTTTGTGTGTGGTGTCTGGATGTACGTGTGTGAATGTACAG